AACTTGTACACTCATATGGAACTCAGTAGAGCGGTTCCTCAGCGAGATGGATCTTGAATTACCTCAATATCCAGCTACATAACTCTTGGGCATATACCCAAAGAATACTTCATCCTACCAAAGGTAAACCATGTTCCTTTCTGCTCTATTCATAGTAGTCAGAAATTGGAAACAACCTAAATGTCCCTCAACAGAGGAATGGATGGAGAAAATATGCTACATTTATACAATAGAGTAGTACTAAGCCATTATTTTAAATGATATTTGCTGGTAAATGGTTGGAACTAGAAAAAAAATCACCCTATGTGAAGTAACACAGCCTCAGAAAAACAAATATGATATGTATTCACTCGCATATGGATATTAATTGTTAAATCAATGATATGCAAACTAAATCCATAGAACCACAGTGGTTAGGTATAGAGTAAGGAACTAGCAGGAATAAATAGATCTTATTAAGAAAGGGAGATAAAATTGATAGTTACAAATAGATGGGCAGGCTAAACAGGAGAATTAAGCAGGGAAGGGGAGGGATGTAGTAATATTTTATTTGTATTTTAATAAAGAAAACTTGCCTGAAGATCAGAGTGCAAAACCAAGTCACTATAGGCTAGGGAATGGTGACACACACCCATAATCCCAGGACTCAGGAGACAGAGACAGAGGAATCTCTATGAGTTCAAGGTTACCCTGGGCTACACAAGATGATCCAGAAACAGATCCAGGTGGTGGTGGCTTACACCTTTCATTCCAGGGTTTATGAGTCACACACTTTTAAAATATATCCCTTGTCACAGTTAGGGTTTCCACTCCTGGGAAGAGACATGATGGTGGCATTCTTACAAAGGAAGACATTGAATTGGAGCTGTCTTACAGCTCGAGGCTTAGTCCATAGTCACCATGGTGGGAAGCATGCAGGACACATGGTGCTGGAGAGGTTACTGGGAGTTCTACATCCAGATCCAAAGGCAGCAGAAAGAGATTGAGACACACTTCCTCCATCAACACCACACCCACTCCAACAAAACCACACCTCCTAACAGTGCCACTCCCTATAAGCCTATGGGGGGCCATTTTCTTTTAAACCACCACATACATATATGAAAGCAATCTAAATGGGCGAGGTATAGCCCCCACTAGATAGCTGGGAATGGGTTACATCTAATGGAGTTGTTGGTAAAAGGGGTCGCATCAGAACCCCCAACAACCCAGGCTGTTGCTAAAACTATAGGTTGCTCTTCACAAACTGACAGCACAGGCCATTCCTGAAACTACACTTACACAATTCATTGAACATAGAGCAGTTGAGTTGGGGCCCAACTAGGACCTTCATGACTGCTGCCCAGCATCTTGGTTATAAGAAGGTACTCCATAAACTACCACTGAAGAAATGTAAACACCATCTCAGCTACAAATCTTCGATCTACTATGATGGCCTGTCTACAAGATCTGCTAGAGCAATTGTGGCCCAAAGCTTGTGGGAGTAACGAATCAATATCTGATTTTACTGAGACCCCACCCCCACGAGCTGCAACCTATACCTTACACTGCTTTGGGTGACCAAGAACCTGAGACTAGATAGCCAAAGCACCTATGGTAAAACCAGATACTACTGTTCTTTAAAAAAAAAAAAAGGTAACAATAAAATGACTCCAAATGGCATTCTGCTATCCCCATATGCCTGGCTCAGCCTTCACCAGAGAACCAGAGAAGTTTCTTCCTACAACAGATGAGAACAAATATATGGACATTTTGCAGAAAGTGAGAGACCTTGGAACATGCTACCCCAAAACAGATGTCTCTATTAAATCCCTCTTCTCAGAAAACCCCACAGAAGAGTAGGCAGGAAAAAGTGCAGGACCCAGAGGTGATGGAAGACAGCAGGAAAACCAGGCCCTCTAAGTCAACAAGATAGACACCCATATAAACTCAGCATGCACAGGGCCTGAACAGGTCTTTACCAGATGGGGTCCGAAAACTGAGAGATGTGGACATACGCCTGCATCCCTAACCCAGAAGGAACCTCCAATTTATAACCACTTGTAAATGAAGATTTAGGTTTCTCCACGGGAATCTCATTAGGGAGAGAAATCACTATTAAGGGTAGGCCTCATGCTCTGCGGCAGGTGGACAACAGAAAAGCTAATTTAAGGCCATCTTTCTTTCTCTCTCTCTGTCTCTCTCTGTGTGTCTCCCTCCCTCTTTCCCACCCCCCTCTCTCCCTCTCCCTTCCTCTTTCTTTTCTTTCTATTTAATTTTATCTTTTTACATTTTCTCTGCTTTTTTACCCTACAGGTCCTTACACATATATTATGGTTTCTGAGTTGTAGTTTGTATTGGATTCCTTGGTATGTTGAGTGGGTCTGTGTCTATGTTTCCTGTGCCTTTTCTGAGGCTCTTCTCCTTCAGTTTGTTTTGTCCTACTCAGGTGTGGTGGTTCAGGTTTTTATTTTTTGCTTTGTTTTAGTTTTTGCTGTCATTGTTGCTGTTGATTTTTTGAGGGGCGGTGTTTCTTTTATTTTATTATTATCTTTTAGAAGCTTATGAGAAATGAAATGGAGTAGATCCAAATGGAAGGGAAGGTGGGGAGGACATGGGTGGAATAAAGGAAGGGGAAGGAGAGTAATCAGGTTATATTATAGGAAAACTTTTCAATAAAATAAAACAAAAAATTCTAATGTAAAATCACTTTGAATTTTGAGAAAATCAAAGTATCATTAGTCAATCACTAATATTTGTGTGGAAAATTCATTTGAATTGAAACATTCTCTTCTGGATGAAGAGGCAGGCTCATGAGATTCGGGGACTAAAAACTGCTTCACAAGGCTCCTCCACAGAGTATTGAAAGCAATGAACGGTTCTAGGGCAGAGGAAGATCTGAGCTGTCCAGCTTACTGCCTGTCTGCCTGAGATCTCCAGACAGGCATCTTTCAGGAAGCTCCTAGAGGGAGGGAGGGAGGGAATGAGGGAGGGAGCTTATGGAGATGTAGCTGCCTTTGAGGCACCCTTGCTCCTAAACAAAAATAAGTATCTATTGCCCAAACTCCTGCAAGTTGTCCTAAAGAAGTTACTGCCCCCCCCATCCACACACACAAATATAATCTGTCATTTAATCTTAAGATTAAATAGAGGAGAAGAACTATGGGAAAGAGGAAAAGGTGCTCCTATGTGTGGAACTTTATGCCAAAGGAGACAGGTAAAAAGGAGTAAAATAAAAGCTTACAATTTCAAACTAAATGACTTGGGAAAGGTGGAATAAATGTTTAATACAAAAGGATGTCAACAAGGACAATACGTTTGGATTTAGATCACTTATATTTATTCAAAACCCTAGAAGTCCTTCAACCAAAGAACGGATAAAGAAAATGTGGTACATTTACACAATGAACTATTACTCAGCTGTTAAAATAATGATATCATAAAGTCTGCAGGCAAATGGATGGAACTAGAAAAACTCACACTGATATTAGTCATTAAGTATGTGATAACCACGCTACAACCTGGAGACCCAGAAAGGTTAGGTATACGGACAGGGTCTAGAGTAGAGACATAGATTTCCCTGGAACAGAGAAATAGCACAGACTTTACAGGAACTTGTGGCAGTTGCAAATAGGAACAAAAGAATTAGGTAGGGAGAGGGAGAGGAGGGAGAGTAGTGGAAAAGAATGCAGGCAGAGAGAGCTGAAATGGGGGCATTTGGAGAAAGATATGGAAACGTAGTACAGTGGAAACTTCCTAAGATATGTGATGGTGATCCTAATACTGGGGGATACGGAGTCACCTGTTCACCTCTTGTTGCTAAGAACAGGAACTGGATTGCATTCAACTGACTTATTGGCCAAGGGGAATCACATAAAAATCCCCAAACAACCCAGGCTGATGCTAAGACAATGGATTACTCTCTGCACACTGACAGTGGAGTCTCACTGCTGACCACAACATCCTTACAACTCATTGCATATGGAGAAGTCCAGCTGCTACCTACCGGGAGCCTTCACCCCTACATTCTAGGGTCTTTGATGCAAGAAGACACTCTGAGGGCTTGCAAAAGAGTAGTATGAACACCAAGCCCAACATAAAACCTTTGACCTACAATGTGACCAGATATGCTGGGGCAACAGCAGCCCCGAACCTGTGGGAGTAGCAATGTCTGTTTGACTAAGGCCTACTGCATTATATGACCCCTGACCCTGTTGGGTGATCAAGGAGCAGAGACTGGAGCACACAGAGACCTAGGGTAAAACCAAACACTACTGGTCTAAAAAAAAAAATCAATAAAACTCCTAACACTATTCTGCTATACTCACAGATCAGCGCCTCATTCCCTCATCAGCAGAGAGGCTTCCTCTGATAGCAAAAGGGAAAAGGTGAGACCCACAGACAGACATTATTGGAGACAAAATCTAAATGGAACATCTCCATTAAATTCCTCCCCTCGGAGCTCAGGGAATCCTGGGCAAGAGGAGGCAAAGAGTTACAAAAAGTATAAGGCCAGAGAGAAAGGAGGCCAGCTGTAGAACAGACCCGCTGAATCAACTAAGCAAAGCACACAGAGACGAAGGCAGCAGCAAGCACGGGGCCTACAGAGGTCTGCACCAGGTTATCTGTGCATATAGTACAGATTTTAACTCAGTATTCCGTGGGCCCTTTGAGTATATATAGTCAGGATATATTGTATGAGAAAATAATATATTTTCAATAAATGGAAAAAATGAAAAAATAATAAAAGTAAACCACCATGAGAAATTAATTGCCTCATTCACCTGGAAAATAATTCTCATTTGAGGATTCTAGCTCCACTGAGAAAAAGTAAGCTATGTTAAAAACCACTTCCATTAGCTTTTAAGACTTGTTTAAAACAAGGTCACAAAAGTCGGGAAACCAAACAGCAGGAAAATCTATTCTGTAGTAAATTTGAATTATTTAACTATGCTGCTATTTACTATTAAGAGAACAGATACCCTGTACATATGACTTGTTCTTTAAAGCATTTCACTTACTTGCTTTTCCCTTTGTAGACTGTTGCATAAGAGCCTTCTCCTAGTTTCTCCAGTTTTTCATAGGAATCAGCTTTTCCAAACTTGGGACTTGTTGGCTAAACACGGAATAGCGGGAAAACAAAACAGACTGTATCAGTACCAATTTGTTGACACTGGATAAGTAACATTTTCTGATATCAGAATATTTTTAAAACAAGGCAATAAACAAGCATTGTACAAATTCAGAATACACAAATAAACACTTTTTAATATAATATGGAGAATTATATTTGCCCATAATCTAACCAAGGTAGACCTGTAAATATTTTGACATAGAACCACCCAAGGCTATCTTGCGGGAAACTGTTTAAATAGAGACGTTGTCACATTCAATGTAAATGCTTTATGACCTGTGTTCTCGCATTCCATGTGTTATGAACATTTTCCATATTATGGCACAATATTCTAAATTGTAGATAAATAAACTAGTATATAGAGGTCAAACATATTCTACCCCATGTTTTTATACATCCCATTGACGTAGAATAATTGCTACCTTGTTTCAGTAGTAGAGGAGGGACCAAAAGAAGAAATTTTGTGATACATGGAAAGTTGTACAAAATTCATATTTGACTACCCACAAAGTTTTATTATTATTATTTTATTAGAATGGTCATCTTAACTATGACTTTCTAGTTATAATGAGACTATGGTTACTACATGTATTATACAGCTGCTGATGCGTATGCTATGTTACTCTACAGCAAATCATGACTACATAATATTTAGTCAGAAAAATAGTCTTCCAACATATTTCATCAGTAAATCACATAGATAAAGTATACTATTTAGAGATAACTGATCATTGTAACCTAGCATTCTCACAGGTGATAAAATTAAGGACTGACAAATGAGATTCCATGAGATCGAGGAGGGTCTGCACGGCAAAGGGGACCAGCATCAGCATCAGCGTGGCCAGATGGCCGACAGAATGGGAGAAAATCTTTGCAACGGGATATGTGGTAGAGGATTAACATAGGCAATAAAGAGTCTCAAAAAATTAAGCATGAAAAACCATCTAATCAATAACTAGGTGAATAAATAGAACTGTTCTCAAATGTAGAACTGCAGACAGCCAGTATGTGGAAACTGTTCAACATCCTTAGCCATCAAGAAAATGCAAACTAAACAACATTGTGATGCCCTCTCACCCAATAAGACCAGATGTCACCAGGAAAACATGACAAAAATGCTAGAGAAGGTTCGTGCACTTTCACGCTGGTGAGAGTGTAACCTGGTGGTTTTGCTACAGAAGGGAGGCACTCACAATACACAAGATGAGCAGCAAATTGATTTGATGAGAATATGGTCCATACACACAGTGGAGTTTTATTTAGTCATAAAGAAGCTGAAATATAGCACCTTCAGGAAAACTAATAGAGATTATCATTAACATGATAAATCTGATGTAAAAATAAAAATGATAACATAAACAACATAAGTCAGACTCAGAAATACATGACCCATATTTTCTGTCATATATGGACACATATTTATGTGTGTGTGTGAGCCCATATGTAGGACATATAAAGATATGAAATAAGAGAGACAATGATGAGGAAGGAAAGGGAATAAATGGGGGAGGTAAAAAGAGAAAGAAAAAAAACACAATACCCCATATTTCCCCTCATATGCAGAATCTAGACTTGGTTACACACACGAGAAAACAGAGGAGAGACTACTTACAGGGAGAAAGTTGTACCCTGAGGTTGCAGGGGAGAAGAGCAGGGAGGTCAAATACAGAAAGTATAACGATACAGATGAATGACAGGTCACAAAGAAGCCCATGACTTGCATTCCAACTGTAGCAATTAATTAAAAGTGAAAATACTAAGTATGTTCTCTTGTCTCCTGCCCACACCAAACGCAACACAGTGACTAAAGATACATCTTCAAAGCAGTTCATGATCATGGAAAAAGAATTATCTAACCAGACATTTTGAGGAATCTTGAATGGCATAATGCCATTGGGAGTAAAATTTCAGAGAAATGACCCTAAACCCATGAAGAAACTATTAGATTAAAATAAGAGAAACCTTTACGTATATATGAGGAAGGTAAGGGGAGACTTAATTTTATAAAAACAGAAAGAACAGATGAGAATGAGGTCACTGAGTTAGAAGGGCAAAGCAAAGACTCAGCCAACATCTACAGAAACGACAATGTACAATTACAAACGGCCAACAAATATTTAAAACTGCATTCAACATCCCTAGTCATCAGAAAAATGTAATTAAACCCAAGGGTATAAACATGGCTTTTTTTTAATAGCTTTATTTTAATGAAAATATAATTACATCATGGCTTTTTGATGCATTCAACAGAAGCACGTAACAGCATTAGAGTAAGCTGACAGGTTTCTCAAATAAAAACATGACTACAAATCCTAAAGACACAGTTCACGAAAGATGAAACCAAGAAACAGAAGCATGGAGTTTAATGGGCAGCTGAGCTAAAACTCTTGTATATTTACATGGGAGTGAGTATGGCTGAAGGTCATGAGACTGGAAAGGGGGTTGGGAGAGTGGAAAGAGGGTTTTTGCTTTGCTTTGTTTGTTTTTTGAAGACAGGGTTTCTCTGTAGCTTTGGTACCTGTCCTGAAACTCACTCTGTAGACCAGGCTGAGCTGCACTTGGGAGGCAGAGGCAGGAGGATCTCTGACTTTGAGGTTAATCTGGTTTGCATAGTGAGATATATATATATATATATATATATATATATATATATATATATATATCCAGAACTACATAGTGAGATCTTGTTTCAAAAAACAAAACAACAATTCCAAAGATGGGAGGAAAAAAATTCAATTTGTCAATTACGACATCAACTTTTTCCAAGTGTATATGACATGGTTGGTAACTCGGAGTTATGATTCTACTTTAAAAAATGAGGTAGGCAAATTCTGCTTCTTATTCCAATACAGATATAAAGAGAATCATCTTCTGGTCCCAGGCTCACGCATCTCCAGATGCTGACAGAGCATCTTCACAGGTAGAATGAATGTGTCAAAGGCAGCAACAGAGACTGCAAGAAGTTTTCCAGGTCAGTTATCCAATCTGCCATAGGGCCGAACACCACAGTAACCCATTTCTCCAACAAAGCATCCAATGACAGGACAATTCCACAAAGCCACACCAAGCTCCACAGTTACATGTTGCTAAATTTTTAATGAAGCATGGACCAAAAATAGAACTCTTGTCTTCACAGAAATCAGAAATAACTAGGGCTGTACAACACTTTCGGCATCATTTACTCTAGTCTAAATGTATAAATAGGAGAGTCTCCCAGAAAGACGACTTTCTCCCAAGACTATCTGCTGAGTTTTAATTAAACACATTTTTCCTCAAAGCAAAACTCATCTGTTTAATGTTCCCATTCAGCATGTAGTACGAGGGGAAACAGCAAAATTTGGTTATGAACAGTATTCTAAGAAAACACCCTAACTGATAACAAAGCATTGTTTTCTAGATATGTATTAGTGCCCCAGAGGTTTTCAAGTACTGCAGCCTGGGTAGCATCAACAGCAAAAAAGGCATTTCCCAGTTATGGAAGACAGCAGATCAAGATGGTGGTAACAGCAGGTTTGGTTTCTGCTGAGGCCTCTCTGTGGTGGCATCCTCATCCTGCTTCTCCTCTCCTTACTGTATCTCTGTGGCGTCCCTCCCTCAGCTCAAAAGACCATCAGCTAGAAGACCCAGCACAGTGACTGCAAGTGAACTTCACCACCTCCTCGAGGATCTTATCTGCAGATAGGGGTCTGAGGTACTGTATTCAGAATAATAGCACAGACATTGCGGGGGGCGGGGGGCAATGCAGGTCACTGGAAAATAGACAGCTCAATGACGAACAAGTATACTTCAAATTTTAACACAGACAGGAAGGGAATGTGTAAAGGAGATCCAAAATTTTTTAATGATATTTTGTTTCCACATATGTTAAATTACACATCACACTGAAGAGCTTTTACTTTTTCTTCTCTCAAAAACCACATAAGAACCAAGTAAAATGTTGTGGACATTTGCATTCTGAGCCACTTGACTAGTCCTGTGTGGGTCTATTTGCACTCATGTCTCATCGCCAAGAAACAGCTTGCGAAAGTCGCACTTCACCATCACCCTCCCGAGCTCAAGTCCTAAATAGAAATTTTAAAACCTATATTAAACTTTGTATAAATGATCTTCAATGGAGAAAATATTGTGCTCACAGTTCCTCTCTAAATTATTTTAAATCCGAGTGAAAAACCCTTCACGTCTGCTGTTGGACTCCTTTAAGAATGAATCTGAGCTAAAGAGAAAGGTAGCTACAGAAAACCACCCCTTTGCTCCTAGCAGGGCCTACCTGGCTACTGTATACTGACAGTAAGTACTAGGAAGCAGGAACTGGCAGGGATGGAAGACAGCAGTTTTCCGTCAAGGAACTGACTAAACTTTGTATGTTTCACTCTGTGCAATCTGCCTGGAATATGTGATTGCTTTCAAATGAGACGTAGTAACACTACCTAAAAACTGAGCAGAGGCAACTGTAAAAATGTGAAAGTTTTCATGTCATAAAAACCAGTATCGATTTTATTTACAAGAAAAACAAACAAGTAAGAAAAAATAATAATGGCACATATCTATTTTTCTAACTAAATGGATTTGGATTTATTAACTGCTGTGGTTAAAGTATATTCTATTAACACTGCAATGGCATAAAATTAATACTTTGCCACATTTTTCAGGAAAACAATCAGTTATTTGCCCTGTGGTACTGATCTGTAGACACTGTGGAAATAGCCAGTAATTTGCAGATCAATCACACAGTCTTCCTAAGACGGATCGAAGGCATGTGATTCCCCTCTAAAAACAGTTCTGGTCTATGAAAGGATGATTCCATGAAACATGGACTGTATGAGGCAGTCTAAGCTTTGAGGATTAGATTCTCACAAGTGAGCCTTCTATTTTAAGCATGGAAAGTAGTCTGTGTGCAATTACCACGCATATAAATAAGGAATCCAAATGCCAAGCATTTAAAGAGACATCTCCTATCCAATGAACAAAACCAAGAATAATGC